GCTACGTTACATAATCATTACATTCAATACAAATTCTCTAACGTATTCCACATTTAATGCCTATTAAATGCCGTATCTGCACTCTTTTCTATTGTCAGATTCATTCCTTTTGATTCTCGGATATAAATGACTTAGATAGGTACGGGCGCTGAGTTATTTGAATAACTGCCCGTGCCTCTTCCTCTGCCATTTGCTCGTATCTGTTACAACTCGTGCCTCTTGGCTAGTTGTAATTCTTTGATCAGTCTACGTGTCTCGACACGTCACCTTTATATTTTAATACAATTTTTCCCAATACAACCAATCTATTGTGGCCTACTTGTCACGTAATTTTTTGATGAAGAGTTATAACGTGCAATAGTTGCCCAGTCATTCATGAAATTAGTAACTGTACATCCATCTCCAAGCATATGTGACAAACATGCACTAACTGCTATTCCTCCGCATTTGAAATGACTTAATTGAGCCACAGCAAATTTACTACCCTTATCATAGGAAGTTTTCCAAGGCAAATTTTTGGGGAAGGCCAAATATTCAGGACCAGTATCAGGAAGATTGACGACATCAGACATGGAACAATTCAGTTCAACATTTAAGAATTTAGCTCCCATGTCGTCATTGCATTCAATAGCTACATTATCTTTCAACTTCCCAGCAACTGGATAAAAAGAGGTTAAGGTTTTCGATAGATAATTCTCGAGAACTTGGGCTAATTCTTGTTTGGAACTTTTATTAATGTTGTGATGTAGAGGTCTAGGGTAGAAGAAAGCAATGTGAATGTACATGGTACTCATGACTTGATCAAGAAGAGAAAGCTTGTAATTTTTAAGTGGAGATGGTGTAGTAGAGGAGGCCTTAATAATCTTTTCAGAAACCGAAATGATTCTTGAGACAGCCATATCTTAATTACTGATCAGAATGATCTCAAGAAATTTGAACTGGTATTTCCCAATTTAATGTCTATGCATATATATAGATATAACCTAGAAATAATTAGCTTGTGGCTTGGATTTATTTTTCATCATTACACATATCATTTTGGTCAACATAGTATCACTAAGCAGCTTTATACTTTCGTATGAATCCTTCTATGAATTCTTTGACACCAGTTGTTAACTTACTATCACTAGCTTTAAATTATCGTCTAGAGTGGTCAAGATGTTCTACAATATTAGGCAAAGAGGAAATTCTCCTCATGTTCAAGATAATTAACAGCTTGTTTGGATGCCTATTGTATTGTATTGTATTGTATTGTATTGTATTGTTACTTTAAATATAATATTTGTTTTGATTTTTTCTTAAATTTTATTGTATCGTATCATTAAATCCGTCGTTACGTAATAACTAAAAGTGTCACTCTATGAAACGATCGATTTGGTGTGGTCGCATTGTTACCTTATTTTTTTCTCTCATCTTGCCCTTCTTTTATTATTAAATAATTTTATTTTATCCTTTACCCTACATTTTCATATAATAATATTATCACATACTGTACTTTTTAAAAAAAATATTGTAAGTTCATTCTTCGTATTGTTGATCCAAGACATTATGAAACAACGAAAAATAATACAATCTATTCAAATTTATATACATCAAAACTATAAAATACAATACTATACGATATGAAAAGCTAGATAACAACCATCCAAACAAGCTGAAAGGCAAAAGAAGAAAAAATCTAGAACAACATCCAGAAATGTACTAGTTGTTCTTTTCCCTTTCTCAACTCTTGAATCACTCTTGTGGGCTCCATTTGATCTATAATTTACTATTGGTTCCGCGCAGATGGTTTTAAAAGTCGACCAAAACTCGCCTTGACGCGTCAAATTGCTAAATTCCTAGAGTTTGGTTTTAAAAATTAGATTAAGCTGATTTTATTTTTCAAAATTAATGATATATTTTCACATATATCTGGAGTTTATGCATATGTGAATAATTATAATAAAATATTTGTCACAACCCAAATTTTCTTCCGTAGGATATCATGACGGCACCTAGTCTCTAAGACTAAGTAAACCTAACAATATGCGAAAATAAATAAAATAAAGACTAAAATCTCAACATCAACGCACACACACTAGTATCTATTATTAACAATGACACGTGATCATTTAAACATTTATTTATATGAAGGGACAATAAAATTTAATTAGTGAGAGAAATTTTATATATAATAATACAACAATTATCTAAATGTTGAAAAATATTATTACATTAGCATAATACATGAATTTAAAATAAAAGGATATCATCAAAACTTACACAAATGATCAATTTTGTCATGTTAGTTAGATAATTATGTATTATAGTTTAAAAATATTTAATGTGATAGTATCTTGACGAACACTTCTTTGTGGACAATTTTTGTGTGTGTATATTTCCTCCTAATGCTTTGGTTGCTCTGCCTTAACCAATACTCTTGTTGTCAATTTTGATATCCCTCTTGAAAGTGTAACATACAGTTATTCGTGCAAGAAAATATATTGCGGTAAATATAGTCCAATATTTAGGATGTTTGTCCTCGTGCTTTATTTGTTATATTTGCAAAATATAAACATACTAAAAATTATTTTCACACAAATTTTATTCCTTAGTTTCGGAAGACGAAAGTTGAATCCAGTGATAAGAATATACTTAGAATCACAATGACCAGTATCATAATTTTTGCATGTGTACATTATTGTCAAAAATTCTATATGCCATATGTATGCTATTGCATAAGCTATTCGACGTATCTAAGTTTTTCAGTAGCATGACAAACATTTTTTTTTTAAATTAACCTAGATACAATGGAAGATCGATTTTAACTTAGTCTATTATATATACTGTGACACTAACATATGTAAGAAATAATAAACTCGACAACAAACATGTATGGCAGAAGGCCTTTTGGTATTAAAGTATTTAAGTATTCTTCTTGGTAGTAATTATTGGTATCATTCTCTACTGAGTCAAAAACTGAAAAATATTTTATTTTTCTTATAAAATTTTGCAATCAACCTTTTATTTAGCTGATCAATATATTTATTTTTGCTACCTAAGATATCTTTTTAACTCTATTATCTGATTTGCACAAATTGCATTTTAATCTAATGATAGAAATATTTCTCTTATTAAATACACTACTATTACCATTGGGATTGATAACCAAGTGTTAAGGAAAAACCAAATCATCTTTTATTGGATGCTCTTATTCATTTTCGACACGAAGCAAGAAGATACTGAATATTGGATTTGTTCTTACTTTATATTTCTTGTCAGTTGAATCTTTTTCATTTGAGGTCGGATGTATAACTTTGGCAAGTTAGCTTTTACAGTCTTTGCTTTTGCCGATTTGGAAGTACTGGTAGTTGTGATGACCTGTTTTACAAGTCGATTCTGTGTTCCGAGGCCTTAAAACCTCTTATTGTCTCACCTCGATTTGTATGCGCTATCCGGGCGTGTATCCGGAAAGCCATTATGTAAAATCTGTGAAAATAATAAATTGTGCTTTTAAAATAAATTTAAGTTGACTTTGGTCAATATTTTGAGTAAACGGACCCGTACCCATAATTTGATGGTTCCGAAGGGTCCGTACGAAAATATGGGACTTGGACGTATGTCCGGAATTAAATTCCGAGGTCCCATGCCCGAGAAATGAATTTTTGAAAAAAATTATTTAACTGAAATTATAAGAGTTTTCAGAAATTTAAATATGTTTGAATTTGATGTTATCGGGCCCGTATTTTAGTTCTGGAGCCCGATACAGGTGTTATATGGGATTTAAGTTGAGCCTGTAAAATTTGGTAAGAAACGAACATGATATGATATGAATCGGACCATCGGTTGATAAAAATGGAACTTAAGAGTTCATGAGATTTTTCTTTGATTTTGATGCTAAATTCATAGTTATTGATGTTATTTTGATGATTTGATCGCACGAGCAAGTCCGTATGATATTTTTGGACTTGCGTGCATGATTGGTTTGAAGCCCCGAGGGCTCGGGTGAGTTTTGGATAGGCCACAGAGTGAAATTTGACTTAGAAAAACTGCTGGTATATTCCAGATCTGCAGGCTTTGCAATTGCGAAGCCTGGCTCGCAATTGCGAGCTCGCATTTATGAAAAACCTATCGCATTTGCGAAGACTGGCTGGATAGGGAACCTTCGCATTTGCGAAGCTTATGTCGCAAATGCGACCTTGACAGGCACCTCAATTGCGAACATTGTTCGCATTTGCGAAGAAAGCAGACATAGGCCATCCTTCGCAATTGCGAAGCTTTGGCCGTAATTGCGAGTTTGCATGTGCGAACCAGGCTTCGCAATTGCGATATCTGCACCTGTGTAAATCATGATTTAGCCGAAAATTCTTCATTTTCCAAACTTTCTCAAAACCTAAACTCTCTTGGGCGATTTTCTAAAGAAAAGTTCTTCTCCAAATCGATTGTAAGTCATTTCTAACTCATTTTCTTTAATCTATAACATCTTTTCACATGATTTCAAGTCAAAATCAAGAGTTTTCATGGGGGAAATTGGGTGTTTTGGGTAGAACTTAGGTTTTTCAAATTTTGGGGATTTGGACCTCGATTTGAGGTTCGATTTCAAAATAAATTATATATTTGGGTTCGTGGGTGAATGAGTAATCGGGTTTTGATTCGAACCTCAGGTTTGACCATGTGGGCCTAGGGTCAATTTTTGACTTTTTGGGGAAATCTTAATAAAACCTATTTTCATGCATTAGAATTGATTCATTTAGCATTTATTGATATCGTTAAATAAATTGTGGCTAGATACAAGCAATTTGGTGGTGGAAACAAGAGGTAAATCGGTAGTTGAGGCTTGAATTGTGTTCGTGGCATCGAGGTAAGTGTTTGGTCTAACCTTAGCTTGAGGGATTAAGAGTCGTGTCTTATTTGCTATGTGTTAATTGTTGAGTACGACGTATAGGCATGGTGATGAGTATCTATACGTTGGTGTCAAGTATGCCTGTGAGTCTTATGCTATGACTAATGTGACTCCGTTTCATATTATTTATGCTTTATATGATGATTTCTATGGTTGAACAAGGCTTGTGAAAATAGTATTGGTAATTGATCATTGTAGAGAGTTGGCTCTAGTTGAGAAATGAGTTGTGAAGAAATTTTGGTAAAGAGAAAAGGTTTATATTATTGTCTCCCTTGCCGGGATGTTATTGCTTTTGATATTATTTCCCTTGCCGGAATGTTATTGCTTTTGATATTATCTCCCTTGCCGGGACGTTATTATTCATGATATTATTTTCCTTGCCGGGATTTTATTGAAATATTATTGATTTCGCTTGCCCAAATTGCTTTGTGATTGTTGCTTGGGTGAGTAAGAGTGTAAAACACGAAGGGTAATGCCGTGTATGATATTTGTGAGAGAGTGTTATTGCACGAAGGGTGATGCCGTGCCGATATTGTGAGGTAAAAGCACAAAGGGTGATGCCATGCCACATGATGTACAATTCTATGCCATTATTTGAGTGATAATGCACGAAGGATCATTCCGTGCCATGGTTATGTGAGGTAAAAGCACGAAGGGTGATGCCGTGCTGATTTTATTGACTTTATAGTGAGGACGAGAGTAAAATCACGAAGGGTGATGCCGTGCACTTGTCTTTTATTTCTGATTCTTGTTGATAATTGAACTTTGGCGTTCCTTATATTTATCTGTTGTTAGTCTGTTATTACTTGATGTTCCCCGTAGCATGTTTCCCCCTTCTATCCTTAACTATACATTTCTGTCTTTATTTTTCGCTGTATATGATTTAACTGCACAGGTTTATTTGGTAGTTTGGTCCTAACATCGTCACTACTTTGCCGAGGTTAGGCTAGGCACTTACCAGCATATGGGGTCGGTTGTGCTGATACTACACTCTGCACTGTGTGCAGATCCCGGTGC